CTGTGTTGACATGGCAATCTGCTAAAGGTCAAAATTCAAATGTGTGGATCCAAAGCAAAGAATAAAAACTCTATTACTAACTTTATTTTTATAAAACTTTTTTAACATCATAACGAATTTTCTTTCAGTTAGTTGAGTATAAATTTTTATACAAAAAAATTTTATCCTCAGTAATTTTTTATTCATATATTATAAAATTTAAACAATTAACTTAGTTATGAATGATGTAAGTCTGACAGAATGAAGAATTTCTTTTCTCTAGTAACCTAGACTAGCTCTTCATCATCCACATATTATTTTTCCAAAATAAAATCTAGCCATGGTATGTTAAAAATAGTTTGACCTGACAAGTGATAATAACTAGTCATAGATGCAAAGCGAATTATGAAAACCTAGCTCTAACTCTTTTCATAGTTTAATATTTTGATCAACTCTTCAAGATGCAGCTATGACTATCAAAGACTCCAATGATAGTTTGGTATTATCCACCGCTAGATAATAAGAAAACAAGACCAACAAACAAACTTTAAAAATATAAAATCAAACTACATATCGATCTAACAAAGTTTTTTAAAAAAACCAATATCCTAGAAGTGTTTTAAGAATTTTATAAATTATCTAATAGATAAAAACTGCATGTATCAAATATAATAACCATGAACATTATCTTCTTTTTTTAAGAGTAATCCTTTGAAAAAGAGTTAAAGCTTTCAATATATAGCCCAGAATTATGGAGACAGAGTCATGGCATTTCTGTCATCATTGTTATTCCATGTTGCCATAATCCTGTTATCAAGTCCTGTCACAAGCATTGTTATTTTATTTAAGAATATTATGATCAAGAATAAAATTCTTCTTGATTCAAGAACATGATCTTGTAAGTATAGAAGAAAATATAACTTTCCATTGTCATCAATTGAAAAATATTTATAAATCATAAGTTTACCATATGTATTCCTATGAACATCGTAAATTAAATCATCAGATAATAGGAGTGCAAGTTAAATGAAAACCTGATAAACTGACGTGATGAGAATAAACGTAGCATGTTGTTCCCCAGAACCTTCAATGAATCATATGCAAAGAATGAAAACATGAATATACAGAGATGATAATCAATATTCTAGCATCCTCTTAGAATCATGACTCTTGGGAAAATCAGTTACCATATGGATCTGATTTCCTCGGTTCTTGACTTGAAGTAGGGAAACTGGAGGCACCCGTCTATGGCAGAGTCTCTATGCTCTCGACTGGAATCTTTGATAGGGTGCGGCTAGTACAAGCAATGATTGGTTGCCTCAGGCCTCTCTCATGTCAGTGTTCAAACAATGAACTCTATCCTAACAATGCAATCGTGACCGAGATAAAAATATGTGTATAGACAAACATACCCCTATCGACATTCAACAGCCAGAGAAACTGGGTGGAAATAAAAGACGGAGAAAACAAAGAAGCAGACGGCCCAATGATGTCAGGAAATCCGCACCTTGTTTCTAGTAATGAACGAGTCGATACAAAAATAATAGATATTCATTGATGGCATCATAACGATATCAACAATCAATAAGTCATGTTATTCATATGCATATTTTTGTTTGGTTTGGTCCTAAGTGATATCTAAAAGTGCTATAAAATTGAATTTATATGCTAAAATATGATGAATAAGCAATGTAATACATAGGTACGGATGTCCTGATAAGTGAATAAGTTAAGGTACCATGAGAGGGCAATTTTTAGCATTGAAATTTTGCTTACAACCTCGTTAATTTTTCGCATCACTTTTTACTTGATTGTTTGTCGAGGAACCTTTTATTGCTCCGCTAACTTGCGACTCGAGTAGATGAAAATAAAAAGATCTATATGTTGCTTGTTCTATATTTCAAACAAATACTTGCTGTCGCCAATATGACGGTTTTTTCATGTTCCACATTTATTACACAAATTAAGAAAGAGTGAATGAATAAATGGCTGAGTCATAAAAGAGATAAAAAATTATTTACCTCGATTGATATTGACATTACTTTTTTTATATCTCAAAATGTATTTTATTGAATGATGATTTTATGTATTTTTAAAACAAAAAAAAAATATATTACAATACTTGAAACCTATTCATTTGATAAGTAAAATAAATTCGATTTGAAACATACAAAAAGAAAAACAAAAAAAAACATAGAGAACAGAGCTTCAACAATGTTCGATCTTCCGATAGCAAATTCACCATTTGGCGACGCCTCTAGCAACGAAGGCGCAGCAGATTTGAAATTGAAATTACCACTCAGTCGTTCTCTTGACAAGAGACGAAGAGGAAAACCTACCACGGCCGCCTCTCATACGAAACGAAATCCCCCGTGGTACATGACTGTCGCTTGTCACGTTGATACCGTTCGATAATGGTCGTGCGTGACCCCACTACTACAAGCTCCTCTTGTCGCTTTTCCCTTGACTTCGATCCTGAATCGACGACACCTGACAAGGTCAAATTGATGTGATTTTTTCCTTCACACCTATTTATTTTTATTTTTATTCTTTTTTTTAATTGATTGGTTTTTAATTGAATTTTCATTTATAATTTAAATTTTTATCAAATTTTTTCCATTTCCTCATAACAAAATTAAAATCCACTATGATTTTTATAAATTATTAATATAATAAAACTTTGCTCAATTGAATCGATTTTTATTCAATTGACTTCATGCATAATAACTTTTAAATTGAAAAAAAATTCGATTTAATTTAGTGTTATTCGATGTAATGAGAAAATACTTTAAGCAGGAAATATTTTTATCATTTTAAAAAAAAAATTATTATTAAAATTGATTTATATGAATTCAATAAATGATTGAATTAACTTTGCAACAAATTAAAAAAAAAAGATTGTTAATAAAATATCATAAGAGACATTTAATTTGTTCTCAAGTAAGCATTAATTTAATAAATCTGTTCCGTCAGTTATCGCATTTATTGGTGATTTTAATAAACAATTAGCTGTACATCAGGTACAGAATAATTGTAGTAGAAAATATGTCAATATTGAGGGAATAACAATCCAATGGAAAAGCTCACTAATTAATAGAATTAAAGTGAAACAAAACGTAAATAAAGCATCGTTACAGAGATTTAAGATTAAGGTCTACATCTCAGAAATTAATCAGACAATGTCGTATTCATTAAGACTAGTTAGAGACAAAAAATAAAATATGAAGAGCAGAAGCGAGATTTAATTTCTTTCTCTACATCATTCTTATCTTGAAAAAAAAGCTGAGTAGGTTAAAAATTATTTATTACACTGAAAAATGCAGGTCTGCAGAATCTGGATTAGATAGATATGCAAACGAACTCAGGTGTTTTTCTGAATTTTCTTCTTTTTTTATCACGGATTCTGAACTTTCTCTACTCACTAGTTGTATTCACTTGTGTACCATTCATTTACAAATAACATCACTTGTAATCTAATCCATCATTCAGTCAAAAAAAGATCTCGTTTTGAATATAAAATATCATATCTTTTGGGATTAATTGTGTTTTTAGTTCAAGTATTAACAATTTGTTCAACAATATATTTTTTCATATTTTTATTGTTAAAAAACAAGATGAAGTTTTTTTTTAAATCATTTTATTTTTTAACGTAATTTAAAAATGAACAAGATAATAAAAAATAACAAATTGCTCTATAATTTGACTTTTTCTTCTATCTTTAAAAGAATGCAGTCTTATTTGTATGTCATACAATGTATACGTTTATATTCTCTTAACTATTTCAACAAGCTCTAAAAAATTTCCGTAGTGACAACCCATTTTCGACTTCGGTTCTGCTGCCTACATATCCGCTCACGCATGACCTACATACTCATTGACATAAACGTCCACTTTTTTTTTTATTTTGACCATAAATAAATTTTTGTTTTACTGAACTAAAAAAAAAATCTCTAAACTAAAAAAACACGCATTGTTGATATGCACGAATGGTAAAAACACAAAAGTATTGAAATATTGAAATTATCGTAAAAAGTATTTAAAAAGTTATGTTTAATTCGTAAAAGTAGAATTTAATCCAAAAGTATCCTTATTATCATTTTAGTTTAGCAACAAAGAGGTTTCTTAAAAGTTTCATTATAAAGTCATGAGTCAAGTCCTATGAGATTGTCGAGAAGGAAGACATGGAGGAAGAGTAGGAGAAGATAGAGAAACGTTGACGATAGTGGTAAGGAATAAATTTGCTTCTTATGAATGTCAAGCGGAATCCGCCTTCATGTTTAATAGTTGACAAGGCGAAATGTTTTCCTTTGTTTCCGAAGTTATTTAAGACCATCTATACGAATAATATGATATCAAGTCTAGAAAGCCTACAGCTATTTTTCCTCAATTTCTTAAAATACTTCCCACAACGATAAAAATTTTATAGCAGCTAATAAAGTACGGGGAATGATCTCAATAAGACAATTACCTAATTAATTATATGAAAGTAGTTTAACTTATCTATATAGTAATTAAATATATAATACATGAGAAGCTGGACTTTGATAGAAGTGATGGTCCACAGATTCAATTTTTTGCTCGAGTGATTTTTTTTATTACTTTTTAAATTAGATTTTTGTACCACTTCATTCCATAACTAATGTAATAAACTTTTTTTTATTCTATTTTGAAATATGGAAACTATTTAGGTGTAAGAAGCTCGTTAAAATATATCACCTCAATGTTTGAAAAATTCGTATTTTGTAAATAGCTAAGAGGGAAATTTTCATTTTTAAAAGATACGTTATGAAATCAAAACGAGAAATATTTTTGTAAAATATCGGATACTTTAAATTCAAATATTTTGTCGTAAAGTAAATGTCAAGAGTTTTATATAGGAATAGAAATGATTTTAAGTAATGGAAAATATTTCATTCAAATTTTTTTAATGAAATTTGTCGGAATTTTTGCTATTTTTGAGAGAATTTTTTTCTTTGAAATTTAATAAAATTATGTATAGATATTTTATAAAAAGCACTCACCATAACTGATGACAGCCAAAGCAAAGACGCCAAGCATCCATGTTCCATTTCCGATGACACACATCTTCGATATTTCTATATATTTTCTTGTCTTCCCTCACATAATCTACTCCAACAAGTATATCAAATCTAAATTGAAGAAATATCAAATTAATATCAGGAAAACAATTCATTCTTAAATCTATAATTAATATTTTTAGATGCATTAAGAATTGAAAAAAAGAAATTTTGACAAATAAAAAAGGTTAAAATTATGACTATTTTAAGATGGTAACCTCGGTTTGTTCACAGATAAAAGAGACAGTGAGTGGAGTTTCAGCACCTTCCATTTCGTGGTCCGGATACGTTTAAAGAAAAATTCCACACAGTAAGAAAGAGGGTTGCACCTTTAATAGTATGCCATGCAGTGGCTTTTACTTCACACTCACAAATAAATTTCATACTTTCTTCAAAAGTCATAAATCACAAAATTTATGATTTATTACTCTATAAATAAAATACTCAAGTGTTTTTTCTTTCCCTAAGAAAACTTTATATTTTATATCATTCATGGAATTGCAAGAATTTTTTATATAGACCTGTAATAACGCAAAGCTTAAATATCACGAAGAACATTTTTTTCCTCAAATTTATACATTCATTACAAGATTTCAACAGATAGGAAATACTTTATACGTAAAATATGAAGCACATCGTTTTTATAACGCGATTATCGAAGCCAAACACATTAACTCTGATAGTTTCTTTCACTTTCCATCACTTGCAACGATGCAAGTTGTTTTTTATCTATGATATTACATTGAAAGCTCATACAAAAGACCCTTAATGCAGACATCTTACTCACAGCTTCAACCCTTTCATCAGACGCACATTTCTTCAGACACTTTTCAAGTTTTACGCGTTTACTTTATCTCTGATGCTGAAACTGACATATTGAGGAGAAAAGAAGAAGCTTGAAAGTAGGAGCAAGCAAGAAAAAAGAGAGAAGCACTTCAAAGAAGAATTCATGATTCTGTTTTTGACGCGTCAGTGGCAGACATATCTAGATATACAAATGTATGCAAAGAAGACATACCGAGTTTTGATGTCGGTGTATAAACGTGTGTTAGTGGTTTACTAGAAACTCGCCTCCGGAAAGGAAAATGTACCTAATATGGAACCAGACGTATGGAGTTTGCTATGCGCATGTGAGACCAAGAGATGATGACATATGTATGTTTTACACTTGGTGTTCTCGTCAGTTCCTTTTGTTTATGATTCATGAACCAACTCGCAACATAGAATGCTGTCTCTAATCCACACTTACAGAAAATGTCATTTATTTGATTTCATACTTATGCTTATTATGCATTAACTTTGAGCTTATTATAATTCTTTTGTTTCTCCACTCAATTCAATAAATCATCTGAGTATCTCTTAATTAAATAACTCACATTTGATTTACAAATAAACTGTTCAAACATTTCAAATATTCTATTGCCAATAAACTCATGAATCATTCAGTGTAGATAAATATCATCAATAAATACTTGGAACATATTATTAAATTTTTTCAAAAAGTTTTTTCAAGTCTTAAAGTTCTAAAGCTGGATATAACAGGACGATAAAATATTGAAACTAATACTGCATTAAATTCTAATAATAGATATTTCAATAAAAAAATCATTTGGTTAGCATAAAAATAAAATTTCAGTTGACAACATTGATCGTAAATAAATAATATAAAAATTATTGATTTTCATCTTTCTATTGAATTGGAAAGTTTGATATCAAATTTGTCATCAAGTTGATGTGAAAATAAAACGTAAAAAGAAAAAAACTCAAAAGTAATGAAAATACATAGACAGAGAAGGGAATTAACGAAAGTATATAATAGAATTAAACAAAAGATTTAAAAGTTTTTGTAAAATATCTACTGATTGTCTATTGTAATCTATTGTAATTCCATTTAAACTAATCTAGAGCACTTTTGGAGTTAAACTTGCAACACCACTCATTCATTTATATATCAACATTTGAATCCTAACTTTTATTACAATTTTTTCATTGAAAAAGCTCGAAAAAATACTTATATCAACAATAGCATTTAATTTCACTTCAATTTCTTTAATTTGAGCTGACACAGCTTTAGTATCTCGATAAATGCTACTGGGCAATTTTCACGCATCGATGAAAAACAATCGACGAGGGTGAATAGCACCCCAACCGATACCAATTGACTCAGAACATGGCCACTGAATATTATCTGATCTCACCCTTTTTCTCACTTTTTTTGCCAACATTATCTTTATTTCCGATTGACATAAAGTATTTGTATCGAATAAAAAACAAATAGAAAACACTATTGTATTTTATACGCAAAATACACGAAAATAAAATTGTGTTCAAGAGTCTATACCTCAGAGCTTGTAAGAGGAAAATAAAAAAAATTTATTTCGTATTGGGTTACAAGCAGTCTGTTAAACTCGGAAAAGCTTCTATACAAGAAATAGGTATTCTGGCATTTAGCCCATTCGAATGTACAGAAAATGTAAAAAAAAATATACAATCTATAGAAACGTCAGGGGAAATAGAATTAAAAAAAAATTGAATGAATAAATACATTTAATGAATCGAGAACTAATTTCTAAAAAATAAAATCGGTACAATTATGTTGATATTACGATTTTTCTTTACCTTTTGTTTATCTTCTTGTCTCAGTTCTACATCGACAGTAATGCGACAGTAATCACTTCCAAAGCATTTGCTAACATGCAATAAGATCATTCATCATTTCTTGAGAAGAACATAAACAGTATTTACCAAAATTTTTTCTGCAATATCATTAATTCACTCACATAAACATGTAGTTAATATTTTAACTTTAATTTAAAATAAATTACTTTTAGATAAAGTTTTCTTTGGGGTTGGTCAACATTTCAATTTTATATTCTCGTAGTCACTCAGAATTTCAACTAAAACAAACACAACCTTTTTTTTTTACAACGACTTTTAAAAAAATTACCACTTAAAATTGCATAATAATTATTATGATATTTTGTTGAACTACATGCGTTTTTATTTTTGTCTAGCGTTTATTTGTCTACATACATTCGTAAGCCACCTTAATGTATTCTACTTTACATAAAATTTTATGGGATAAAAAAATTAGACTTTGATGATACTGTTAAGAAAATATGCTCCGTATATGAGTATATATGTAATAAAAATTTTGTTTAAACTTAAATAGAATCATCGACAATAAACGTATAATTATAATCAGCCGATTAAATCACAATATAAACGGCAGTAAAACACTCACGTATATTTATTAAAAAAATATATAGCTTTTCGGATGATTTATTTGAATGTAATTACTAAAAATGTAAATGAACAGAATAAGGTCAATTAGTCGAAATAAAATTATAACACGTTCTTAATTATTCTAACTTGAAATCTATAAACAGTTTTAATAATTTAATAATATTGGTGGTTTAACTTGAAATTTTATAACTTGTATTTCACAATCACTAGAACTTTCGTCAACAATTTGTATGCTGTTATGACAGAATAACATTTTCAAAAGCTCATTATATCCACAAAATTGTATATTAATATTCCAAAAAAATGAAAGTGTTTGCTAGAATAACACTACTTTCAGTCACGAAACACTGAGAGAAGCAATTAGCACGTTTTTAATTGGATATCACATGCTGTTTGTGTTTATTTGTTATTCACGTGAAGAGGTAAAGTAAATGTCACTAGGGATAATGTGTTGAGACGTCTTGTTATGACTGAAAGTCGAAATGACAAAACGAAATTGTCACGCGCGGTTTCTCTCCATAAGTCAGCATAAGAGAAAATTTAAAACAACGTGCGCGCGCGGATATTGGACTGTTCAGACCGCGATGCGAAAGCGAACTGACGTTCTCACGGTGGCAGCGCCACTGCGACGGACATCTAACGAACCAGTGATATCGCTCGAATTCACATGCCCTCCCTCTTTCATATAAACCTTCCCCTTTCGTGTCTGTGGCAACGTGTCCTGCTCTACTAGATTTGCTAATGCTTCAGGTATACAGGGTGGATCCTGCAACGAATGACACTGCGCTTTGGCTTCACTGTCAACTTCTCTTATGACGTTTCATCCTGAAGTCTAGATAATCCGAATTATTCAACTTGAAGTTATTTTTTAGTCTTTGGGAAATTTTCAATCATATGAACTGGAAGAAACAATAAAACTATCTTCTGATGGGTAACATTATTTAAAAAGAATCAATTCTATAGAATGCAATTGAAGAACGGATAAACTGATTTCATGCTATATTTTACATCAAAATTATTTAGCAATTTCTATGAATTAATGAAATTATTGAGTGAAATTGGCTTTGATGTAATTGAAATTTGGATGTTGAAAATATATTGAAATAATTAATTTATTTATTATTTCATGTCCTAAATAACATTAATTTAGAAATATCATTTTGATAATGAGCTGCTTGATCATGGAGTATTTATTGTAATTGAAAATTTGTAATTTTTCGAAAAGAATGTCAATTAATTTTGTGGACATAATTAGCCTTCCTATGTAATTAAAATACAATGATAAAAATGAATTGTTTTTTGAACGGAATTAAATTCCAATACCATTTTGAATAAATAACAGAATTAAAGTTAATGAGATTCCAAATAAATTAATCAAAAACGACAAAATAAATAATCTTCATCTTATTTATGGGAAAATGAAATAACCAAAAACGATCGATTTTAAATATATATCTCATATCCAAGCAGTAAATTACTTTTGCCTCCCTAAATCACATTCACCCACCAACTTCCCATATATCACTTGATTGTGAGTAAACTACTTTAGATGCAAATCATTGTTTACCAAAAAAATTAATTTTTTCCGGTAGCTTGTTATTCATAACTTTTACAAATAAATTTTAAAAAATTTTTCGTCATTAAACTCGAGGCAAAATATCGATCTATGCAAATTTTATACCCTACATTATGATCATAGTTATAAATAAAAATGTTATTACTTACTATTTTATTATAAATTTAATAAATTACGAATTTTAATAAAATCGTCAATGATACTTGGTATATTTTAATATCTTCAGAAATTTCGAATTTAAAATTAAGGTAAAAATTAAGAGGGTTTTTTATGTATTAAAATTAAATTTCAATGACTAACTCTAGGCGCAATTTGTCGTTATCATCAGAAGCCGGAAAATTTCGGGATAAGCGTGTAATCCCAAACTCGTGGAAGGTACAGACACGGTCGGTTTACTAGCTTCTTCTTGACGGAAGAACGAAGAGAAGCCAAGAGAGAGAATAAGGCTAGATCGTTTCACACAGCAGCGCCTCGCTTAATTACTAGTTACTAGTAACAGGACTTAAAACGTTTAGCTCACAGTTCTCGCTCTTCGTTGAAGCTTACATTGTTATACACCAAGTCGTCTTGAACGAAACGCTAGGATTATTAAATCCGCGATAAGCGATAATGGCTGGTAATACTCCAGGTTAATTGTGTTTGACGTTACACGATATTCGCGAAAGTCAATTAAAAATAGTTACCAGAGGTAAAGAAACATTAACTAATTCTTAAGTGGCCTCAACATCATTAAAGGTAATCAATAAAAATATTCTCAAACAATCTTTCCGCGGCCAAGTGAAAATTGAAATGATAAAATTCTATGATATTATCAACTCTTTGATTTATGTTTTTTAATGTCATCAGTAATAATATAACTTAAAGTATCGTATAAATCCTGACGCAAAATGGATTCCACGATACCGTAATAAATTTATGGAGCAAGCGTGTCGCGATTAATCTGCAATTAACGTGGCGCATCGCGTCCCACAAGGGTACGCCCGACGTGACACGCTTCTCTACTTCCCTCTCGTTTATGTAATATCGTGCCGAGAGCAACTAATGACATAGTCTTTCAAGCATCACCTCGGATCGTGTAATTATGACACGGAATCGACCCCATTCACCAGCTGTCATCTGGCTCTGTTTTATATCTTCATGACTGATGTTGATATTTCTCTATTTTCATCTTTTCTGCACATTACATCTCTCTAATCAAGTGTGACTTTAACTACCAGATAATCCCATGGAATAAATATTATTTTTTAAGAGTATTTTCCATACCTGTTTGTTTCATCACCTGTAACAAAAATAAGTAGTTTGTATATTTCATTGTTATCTTTTATATTTCTATACAGATTCATTAATTACATGACATTTTACTTCAAAAATCAAGACAAAGATATGTCTTTTTAAATAAATGTGAATTCGACTGGATTCTTTTTCATTTGTTCTGCAAATTATAATTAATTTCCGGAGAAAAGAATTATTATCTCGCTGGTTTAGACGGAGATTTTTTGTGCTATGTTACCTAGTTACCCATCATATTTCTCAACTCCAAACGTTCTTCGTATTGTAGCAATATAATAGAATATGACAACAATAGAAGGTAAGAAATTTCTATGAAAATCTTGTGAGAGTAGAGACGTTGAGTGCAATATTGCTTGCTACGGTATCATATACACCCACAAGACTACCAGATAAAAGAAGATAGAAAGATAAAAAGCAAAGATGAAGAAGACTGAGGTAAAGATGAAAACTGTAACTGAGTGTGAGAGGTTGTCAGGGAGCAAATCAAAACTTGAGCATTTCGTGTGATTCAAAGTCGTCTTATTTGTAAGACTAGTCTCTTAAAAGATATTCATTGTCAGTCGAAAGCTATTCATACCAGAGCTGGAGAAGTGATGTATAAATTGATCAAAAAAAAACAATAATAATGATCATAAAAAGTAAAAACAAGCATCTATTTCAAGTCAGTTTAAAAAAAGTTTAAAAAAAAATTTTTTGATGCTTTATAAACTTTTATCGTTGTCTTATTGAGTTTATAAATGCATTTACAGCTGTTGTCTTTGGCTAATTAACCTCATAATTTTTTAAATAACATTTATTTAAAAGTTAACTAGAAGATAGTAATTAGTATTGTAATAAATTGAGGGAAATTTTTGTATAGTAAGGTCCCTTTAAAAGATTGCATTAGTAGAAAAGGTATTGTAAGCTAACGCAATTGTAAGCTTTACTTGGATCGTTGCAAGGTGTAATGGTCAGTAGAGTACACAGAAGAGAACACAGGGTATCTCCACGTTAATCATTATATATTGAGTTTCGCTTGGTCCCATGTATCTCGAGTCTGATAGATACTATAGTAGTAGGGCAATGACGATAGGGGTTCGTAACATGCAGGCTATAGGCTGGCAATGTGTACGAAGCGATAGGATGTAGGCAATACTCTGTAGCTTGCAAGGAAACCATTTCTCTGTTAATACTCATGCGTCTAGAACGGGTGGATTGGGTTGATGCGCATTACGTAATGTTCACTCAACTGTCGGACTAAATCTACACATCTGACCTGTGACACTAATATCCATTGAGTGGTGTTGGAAGAAAAGATTTATCTCATTATCGGTGACAAAAAGTAAACAATAAGATGAGTTTAATTTGAAAAAAATAACAGGATAAGAGTTCTGTTGAATTTGGGATTATGAGAAAAGCTTAGTAGCGATAAGATATTTCAAATTTTTTTTATTGTTACATTTTGATGAAATATAATCAAATTGCAATGAACTGGAAAGCTTTTTTTAAGCTTCGACTTTTTAACTGTCGAATATTTTTTGACATTTTTATAAACTTTCTATTACTCAATAAAAAAAAATGAAGAAATGCAAAAACAACTCTTTGTGTGCGAAAATTTGAAAGCATTTTTAAAATAAAATATTTTCTTACTCATACATTTTTAAAAGTCAAATGAGATAACTATAAAAAATTCATCGAAAATTTAAAAAAAAGGATCTTTTAATTAAGAGAGAAAATGTTATAAGAATTCTATTTTTTCGTTGATAAAATATTGAATAATTAATATGAATATTTAATAATACTAGAAATTAGAATGACAGCGTTTAATTGTGTTTAGAATAGTTTTTGGTATTTCAGTCATCGAATTGAATTCGCACGTCTGGTCCGTGCCGTTAATATCAATCAAGCGACAAAAGGAGAATGAAATTTGCCCATGACGTATCAGAGTGAGAGAAGGGATTGTGTGAATCAATATTTACAGATGTAAAATATGATCCAAATAATATAAACAAAATTTTTCCAATCAAAATTCAACATTTGCAAATAATTCATTTATCAAGTAATTTGATCACTTTTCAACAAAAAAAAAAATTTTCTATATTAAATTCAAGCTCTTAGTGTAAGGACTGCATTGAAAATAAAATGAAATTATGTTGAAAATATACTCTATTCGTATAGAAAGTAAGATTCAGAATATGAATTCACTTCCAGGTGGATAAAATGAATGGAAGGAAAGAAATAAGAAACATTTCGGAAGATTATTCATACATATATAAAAATATATATGTATGTGATAAAATGGGAATTCTATAGAAATCTGTGAAGATAAACTTTACTATATAAAATTGAAGACACTTGCCATGTGGCTGAAAGCAAAAGTGGCAAATTCAACTGCAATCGAATCGATAATTCACGGAGGATATATTTTTAAAGCAGTTCCAGGAACGGCTCAGTCGACCTTACGACGAAGAATCGATTTGATTTATAGTGTACGTTAATCGTTAACGGTTCACCTAATTCCATTGGCATATGACGCAGATTTTTCCGGTATTATCAAAGACAGTTTGACTATTCACAATTGATTATTTATGTAAAGAAAAAAAAAAAGAAATAAATGTTTATCAAAAAATTGTTTGAGATTTAAATAAAGGAATTTAACAAAATTAACGTAATGAAAAAGTATAAAGCTTAGCAACGAGAAGAGATTTGCTGTTTTCACAAGTACTTTTTCCCCGTAT